ATAGCGTGCCCCCAAAAAGCCAAGTGTCACTACTACTATGGCAAAGCCTATCTCCAAACTCAAGCTCACTAGAAAGCGCACAGCACAGTACTGTATACATACCTGTATCCCTTCCCTCTTTCTATAACTGTGCCACTCTTTGTTATTCATTTACTCGGGGCAAATTCTAGAATAACTCAAGAAAGTGACAGCGGCAGGGAGAGGTAGCATTTGATGAGGGGAATGCTTTCACCAATTCTGTGTCACTGGTATCTTGACTCGTTCTGGATGGAGCTGTAATTCTGCCTGACCTTATAAAACCCAAGCGTCCTATTACGAGTGCCCTACAACTATATACTATTCTTCTAGGTGATGTATTACCTTTCAAAACAGAACTTCATGTTTGAGCTCCTTTATGGAGTCCTAGATTTAAAACAAAGAGAAGGCATAAGAAAGAAACCATTCCTTTTGGTGAAGAAGCTAGAAAAGCTCTTTCCAGTCTTGGTAAGCTCCAAGATTACCAAAAAGGACCACAGTCATGCACAGGCAATGCACTGTATGAACTGTGACAGGTGCGTGCCCAAAGACAGCGCCATCAAGAGGTTCAGAACACTGTAAATGCTGCTGCCTGCCGTTGGGGACAGCAACAGGAAACAATTGACAAGTATGTGCTTCCCAAGCTCTATGTCAAGCTGCATTACTGTGAGAGCTGTGCCATCCACAGCAAGGTAGTCAGGAATCAATCTTGTGAAGCCGGAAGCCCTAACACCCTCACCATGATTTAGACATGTTAGTGCTGCCCTCGACCCCCACCAAAGCCTGTTAGGATGGAAAAAAATCTGCGAAAAATAGATGCTGGAAAAGCAAATATTCAGAAGTCAAAAGAAGCTTGTCTATTCAGCTGAGCGGCCACTAGCTGCTTTCTTATGTTTTAGTCTTACCCACCAGTCAACATTACAGCTAGGATGGATCTCAGAGATTACCAACTCCATTTTACAACTTCAGAAACTAGAAACTGGACAGCCATATTCCCTAAGTGGCATGGACCGCACGGTGGTCACTGCTGCTTGACGAAGTTCCAGTATTTCAACACTGCAGATCACACTTCTTCAGCACCTTTTTACTTTTATTTTTAATGATTCTCGTTACTGGGAAATTTTGTAAAGGATAAAAATGTGTACAATGGTAGTCTCTCTACACAAAAATTCTTTGGAAAGAAATCCCCGCCACTGCAGAACCAGGAATTCCATTGTGCTCTCCTAATTACACCAAGAACAGGAAAGTTAGAGAATTATTAGGCGCCTGATCCCAAAGAAGAAAAGCCTACAACTCAGATCCGGAGCCTGAGGCCATTAACGGCGAGAGTTCAGTTAATACAGAGAAATCAGAATGGTACAGTATAATGGGAAAAGAATTAAGACATCAGGACTTTACCTTTTGGGAGCATTATGAGGGGAACAGGCCTATATAGTAAGACAAAGAAACTGTAGTAGGGTGTCTGCTCCCCAGAAGTCCTTTTCCCATGGTCAGGCATTTGGATAAGGGTCTCCATTCCTTTGAGAGCTTAGGAAAGTTCCTGCTTGATAATGCAGCTATTCTTCTTATCCCTGGCAAGTGGAACTTATGGCCCTTCTGTAACAGATGACTGGTGCCTATTGTCAAGATCAATGCTAGATTCCTCAACAACCCCTGATCTCAAGCCACACCCCAGCTCACAAGCCCCTCGTCTCCCACTCAATCCTATGTGCAACTATACAGTATAAAAGGTATAATATTTTCTCAATTAAAGGCCAGCGTCAGGTTGTGTCTGTTTCCTCGTCTCCCTGCCCCCCAACTCTACACATTACTTTGGAACCTGAACCCCCACCAAAGTAGGTCTCCAGCACCTAAGGCCAAAGGACTATGTATGTGGTGACATTAGCTTTAAGAAGCGAGTATTTTGACTTGGAATCCAATTCTTCTGTATATGGCTGTGTAGAATTGAAGGACGTTAGTGCATACATCCTTTAACAACCAATAAAATATTCTAAAAACAAAAACAAAAAAATCTCTTACTCTTTTAGGGAGCTGGAATCCATGCTAAAATCGAATTGTATAGTGGGAAGGATGGGCCCCCAAACCAAGAGTGAACCACTGGAAGCAATTGCATATACCTCATCTGTCAGATGTGAGTGAAGGGGGAGGGTCAACTGCTTCATTTGATAAAGGGGTTAGCATCACATTCTGGAATTAAATGGAAATAGGCTTTGAAAAGCAGCTAGAAAAGGCTCAAGTTGATGCACTATGAAGGTTGTCACCCTCTCCTTATATGCTGGCTCATTAGTGAAAACCTTCAGTTTCATCAAGACCATTTGCTTCGAGCACACTAGTGTGACACTGCTGTGGCCTGCGGGTTCTATCTGTAGACTAACAATGCACTCTCTGCATAAGTGCAATGCAGCAATAGTGACTGCAGAGGGCAGTGTGGGTGATGAGTGGGATGAAGAGATCCGTGACTATCATACACGGTAAGACCTTACCGTCACTGCCACAAAACCTTCCTGAACTAGGACGCACAGTGACAGCTGTCCTTCGAGGCCAAGAGCGAATACAGACTACACTTTGGGGAAATCAGCATCTCTTTTGCTTCGGTTGTTTTAATAGGTGTACATATCAATATGAAGAGTAATGAAAATGTGAAAAATAGAAATAAAATTATTCTGTTTACTCAGCTATTTTCTTCTAAGACCTCATAGTACCCTTAAAAACCCAAAATGATTTTTGCAGTAATTTAACAAATATATATGTAATTCTTTTTTTTTTTTTTTTTTTTTTAAGACAGGGTCCCACTGTACCCCAGACTGGCCTTGAACTGCCTCCTAAGTGTGCACCGCCACATTCAGGTTAGGATGTGCTGGGCACTACTCCTGGGAGTTTATGATACACACAGAACAGAACAAAATGCTATTTCATTTCTAGTTCATAGTTCAAACTTAAGCCAGCACCAGAAATCCTTCGAGCGCAGTTAAGACAGACACCTGTCACGACAGTTACTGATCTGTTCACGAGGTGGGGCCTGAGCACGTGCATCTAACAAGTTCCCGGGTGGGGTTCCCGGCGCTCATTTGTAGACCACACTTCCAAACTCGTTTTCTAGTCACAGAGACACAAACAATATGCTACGTCATAAATGTGTAAAGTGCTGAGTACATTAGAAAGTAAGTGTTCTGAGACCAGGCATAGTGGTGCACACCTTCAATCTCAGCACTCAGGCAGGTTTTTATGAGTTCAAGGCCAGCCTGGTCTATAGATGGAGTTCCAGGTCAGCCAGGGCTACACGGAGAAACAAGCAAAGCAAAAATCAAAACCAACCAAACAAAAAAGAGCATCCTTAGAATAGCTGTATAAAGAGCTAATAAATGCAAATAAAAAGAGCAAATTCCGAGATATTAATAATAGCTAGTAGCTCTCACTACTACCAGATGGTATTACATACATTAAGTCATTTACCCCCTCACAAAAATCCCAGGAAGTTAGATGCTATGTTTTATTTTTAGAGGAAACTAGTTTGGTTAAAATAACTCGCAAGGTAGCCAGTCTGAAGCCAGTCTCTCTTTCTCCACCTGCCCCCACTCACCATAATGTATATAAAATCCAGTCTAGAACTCTCTTTGTAACTAGGTAGACCAGGCTGAACTTTAACTCCCACAGATTCTCCTGTTTCTACATCCCAAGTGCTGGGGTTAAAAGTATTTGCCACTGGCAAATTCTTGGGTTTTACTACATTTACTATATTAATAAATTCTTCATAATGGTTTCAATGGCAGAAAAACATCTTGTCAGGCTAGATACAGAATACACTCTACAGGTAGACAGTCCCATCTAAAACTCAAACGAAACTGCTCCTCATATTTAAGTTCCTCCACTCAACTGATCACGTGAGAAAACACGGAAACGTCAATCTTCCTACTCGTATCCACCAGTCTCATAAATCTGCCTCAGAACCACCTGTTGGATTTAAGGGCTCACTCTCCAGAGTCCCATGCTTACCTAGTCAACTGCCACGGAAGCTCCTAACACAGTCTCATATCCATCCCGTCTCACATCCTCTAGCCAGCTACCGCAGCCTTGCTTCGAAAATGAAATCCACATTACTCAGCTGCTTAGCTTCCTTGCGGATTTCCCCTACGACATCCAAAAGTCTTGATGGGACACAGTCAAGTTCCTCTTCAGTGTGGCTGTGTGACTTCCCTCACCTCCCGCCTGTCTCACCCATAAGCTAAACTCTATGTTTAGAATTATTTAAAACTTTTCATTGCCTACCAAACGACCAACCCCTAATCTCACGATTTTTTAAAGTCGTCTTACTGAAACACAGGACCGAAGACTTAACCTCCTATGCCCCTGGGAGAGGCAGGTAACTAAGAATTTGAGGCTCTAGGACATGAAAGGATCTCTAGGAGACGACACCCTAATGTCTATCCCTTTGCACGCCCCGTCAGGCCAAGGGGCTGCAGGAGACCCTGGGCGTCGGGGGCAGGACGGCAGCAGGGGGCGTGCCCGAATGGGAAGCGGGGAGCCCGGGGTCCACATCTGGGAGGACCGCACCGGGCGGAGTTCTCCTGGTCTGGCCCCGCCCCCGCCTCACCGGTCCCCGCGGTCCCCAGCAGTCGCTCGGGCACCCCTCGTAGGTCTTCCAGGAGGCCGCGGAAGATCTCGTGCAGCTTCTCGAAATGCTCGGAGGAGGCGGCGGAGGTGGCCATGGCGCAAGCTGCACGTAAGCGTCGGCCTCTGAGACTCCGGGCGCAGGGCCCACTCCCTCCTCAGCGATCAGCTGCCCGGTCCCGAAGCCATCATCGCGACAGCCGCACCTGGGCCGCCCGGAACCAGGCGCTTCCGGGGTCCTTCGAGCAGGATGCCCTGCCCTTGCTGTCACCGCACGGGCGCCGGGCACCAAAGCCTGACGGAAAGCCGGGGCGGGGACGTCTCCCGGCTACTCCAGGGGCGCGGCGCCGCGGCGGGGACGAGCAGCTCTCTCCGACGTGGAGACAGCCAACCGGGCTGAGGAGGTTCCAGGCGAAGGGCCCGAGGAAGCCCGCGGGACGGGCGCCTCGGCCGCCTCATCTGGGCCTACCGGCCCTGCAGTGCATGCTGGGGGTTGTAGTTGAGTGAGGTTGCACTGTGCAGGGGCGTGGGAGGCCAGTCCTGTTGCGCAGTGACTGGAAAGCACTGGAGCCTCTACATCATCCTCGCTATCACTGCAATTCGTTCTGCCACTACTTCGGCTAAATGTTCACTCTTAACCCTAGATAGATAGGTGAGCAGAGTCCTGCCTGCCCTCGAATGGAAAAACACTATTATTGGGGGACATTAAGTGGACAGGGTCACGTGCTTTCAGAAGCGGAAACTAGGCTGTGTGATACCAAAATACACTCAGCTTCTAGGGGCTGAGCCAGTCTAAGTTCATTAGGCTGGCCTGGGTTCTCACAGCAGGTTAAGCATAGATATTGTGCAAAGACCAAGTCATATATTGAAAAAATAGATTTTTATCTCTGCCTTTGGGTGATTTATGATCTGGTGTGGAAGACAGACCCGTGTAGCCGTGTCTTATCTGCCGTTAAGTGAACTATATCAACAATCATGAAGTCCTTTCTGGCCTTCCATGGGTATTTGTTTCTATGTATACTGCTGACGTGGTTTGCACAAAGAGCCTGCTCTCAGAAGTTGGCGTGAGAGTTCAGTGTTTATACATGGAAAGATATATATGGGCTGCGGATGTAACCGGGAGTACAATGCTTCTCTAGCATAAGCAAGCCCTACATTCCATTTTCCAAGGTGTGTAGGGGAGCAGGTAATGTTTGGGTTATTTTTATCTTTGAGGCTGTGGGTTTTGCTTGCTTGAATTCATTGATCACTGAATTTAATAAAATGTAATATGTGTTGTGCAGAGATGACAAAGTCTGAGGTTGTTTGTTAGTGGTGGTGCAAAGTTTTGATAGACCAAAAGTTGTGTCACACGCTTTTAATCCCAGCACTCGGGAGGCAGAGGCAGGTGGATCACTGAGTTCAAGTACAGCCTGGTCTACAGAGTGAGTTCTAGGACAGCCAGGGCTACCCAGAGAAAATAAAATTAAAACATGCGTGAGTGTAAGTGTGCTGCGTGTGGAGCCCAGAAGAGGGGGTTGGATCCCCTGGAGCTGGAGTTACAGGTGGTTGGGAGCTGCCTGTCTTGCATGTAAGAGTCATGTGATCCTAACAGCTGTACCATCTCTTCAGCCCCAAGCCTTCTATTTCTCTGTCATGGAAACAAACAAGAAGAATCTGCTATGACCAAGAGCTGTGGAAACAGTGACCTTTGGAAGGTGGCATAATAGGTAAGTAGGAAATAGATAATTTGATGATCACAACCCAAATGTATGGCATGTGACTTGCTGTTGTACTGTAATGACTCTGGGACACGTGATCCTTTAGGGCGGGAATAGCTGCACAACTACAATAAGTTTTCTTTAGATTACAATTAAACTTGTTTTATTCTTATAGTTATCATCTAGAACTACAAACATAATTTAAAAGAACCTTTATTTTCATTGACAGTAGAATATAAATTAAGTAAAATTCAGTTATTCACTGTATTATCAAAAGTTCTCCAATTTCCCCATAAACTCATTTTTAAGTATATATTTTAATGGTCAGAACAAGCCCACCAGAATTCTTAATTTACAAATGTTAGACGTTAGAGATTGTGGTTTTTCACACAAGATGACTTATGTGTAGGCGCCTGCATGTGTATCTGTCTGTGTACCACATTTGCCCAGTGCCCATGGAGGTAGACGAGGGTGTTGGAGCCTCTAGAACTGAGGTTCTAGATGGTTGTGAGCTGCCATGTAGGTCCTCTGGAACAGCAGCCAGTGCTAAGCCATCCCGTCTCCCCACCCCCAATTGACATCTTAATATTGTTAAGCTAATTTAAGAGAAAGATTATAAAATTAACTGTAATTACCAGTGTCAGACCTTAGAATAAATTTTCTAAATAAAGACATGTTAATTTTTCACTTCTGTGCTTTGGACTTTTTCTACACACACACACACAGAAAGAGAGAGAGAGAGAGAGAGAGAGAGAGAGAGAGAGAGAGAGAGAGAGAGAGAGATCAAAAGTGTGACTTTCTATAGGTGTCTATTGCTATTTTTCAGTTGTGGTTTAGTTTTTTTTTTTTTTTTTCATTTTTTTTCTTTTTCTTCTTTTGTTCTGAGACAGGGTTTCTCTGTATAACAGCCCTAGCTGTCCTGGAACAAGCTCTATAGACCAGGCTATCTTCGAACTCACAGAGATCCGCTTGCCCCTGCCTCTCAAGTGCTGGGATTAAAGGCGTGTGCCACCACCGCCCGTCATGGTTTTCCATTCTCACCTGATCCCGACCTATCATGTATTCCCTCCCAGGATTTTCTTTTTCTAACACTGGTCCTTGCTGCACCTGGGCTTCTCCGTGACCAATTACTTCATGCACAGCGGCTCCCTCTCTTTGCAGCCGTACTCATTAATAGCAAAGACTCCACCTGGGTTTGCTCCACTCTGGTAATTGTCTAAACTATACTGGTTTAGGACTTTTCCTTTGTAGCTGCCATGAATTGTGTGGAAACACTCTCAGCTTCATGAGCACACGGAAGATGCACAAGGATCAACAGTGACGAGGAAAAGGTCTTTCCTTTTCTCATTGCCTAGGAGAAACAACGGCACAAAACAGAGGCCTCCATGGGTCTGGGGGTCAGTAGCTGAAGCCAGCTTCTCATAAAGCTTTGTGACCTCCTTACTGGGCTGAGAAACAATACGAAATGACAGTTTAGCTTTATTTTTATTTCTGCCCCTCAAATCCACAAACTTCCTCGAGAAGAAAGCTCGCCTGTGGTCCGGACATGGGAAAGAATTTCATGAGCAAATGTTCAGACTGCCAGATTGACTGAAGACATTCCTCTAAGGATCCCATCATTGGGGCCACAAAGGCCTGCTGTTGGGCCAGGTCACTGAACTCCTGGGGTTCAGCTGAGGTTGCAATGAAGCTCTTCAAGGAGAGGTTGGTTGGTTGGTTGATTGGTTGGTTGGGAGGAGCTACATCTAATCTGCACTGCCATGCACCATCCTTCTAGGGCTTCCATTCTCCGAAGAATAGGTTTCCAAAGGAAAACAGGAACTGCGTAGGTCATATAAGGGTCCTCTATCTTAGTCTGTGAAACCACTAGAAATTTTGGCAGGATCAGGTACACAGTAAGTCCATTCAAACTCAAGATATTTAGAGGAACCTGGCAGTATACTGGGATTTAACTGGATGGATGCCAAGCAGGCAAGACTCGAAGTTCTGCTCTTTGCGCTCAAGCTTTTGGCCACTTTGAAGGACAATCATCATCTCTTCCAACCTTCTTTTGAGTCCAAACCACCACTTACCAGTCCATAGGGAGGCCCAGCAGGTCACAGCTGACACCCCACAGCCGCCTGGCTATTGTCTTATTACGAGCTTGGCCAGAGACCCATGCCAACTGGCAATCACTAGAAGGGAAACAGATTTGAACAGAAGGTTAAGAATGGAATTTGTGCTGGTTGATGGTGGCACATGTCTTTATTCCCAGCACTCAGGAGGCAGAGGCAGGTGGATCTTTGTGAGTTCTAGTCTACAGAGCTAGTTACAGGACAGCCAGGGCTACACAAAGAAATCCTGTCTCAAAAAACCAAAAAATTAAAAATGATTAGAATTTGCTTTTTGCCTAGTATAAAGAACATGACAGAAAAACAATCTAGTGTTCACAGGCCCCCCCCAATACTTCACAAGGACAGTCCTGCCCCATTCATTCTCTGATCTTCCTGTTTATTGGCCTCTCTATGTGGTCCTGGCTGGCCTGGAACACTTGTTCTGTGGCCCAGCCTGGCTACAAACTCATGATCCTTTTGACTTGTGCCCTCCCCTGAAATGCTGGGATTATAGGCATATGCCACCACATCCAATCTATTCTCCAGTCTTTCCCCTAAGAAAATATTTCTATCTTCTCCTTATACCATCTCTGAATGCTTTGTCTGTTTTACAGTGTGATCAGTGCCTCCCTGACACCTGGACAGCTCCATCTACTTCAAATGAGGCCACAAAGTCTATCCTTCAAGGCCTAGGACAGTATGCAGGAACTAAGGTCCAGCTATTCGCATTGGCTGCAGAAGGCATCATTACATGAGTAAAGAAGGTTGGGGAACTGCTTTGGAGAAATCCTTTTATACACTGTGAAGATGTGTTGCTGTGGTTGGTTTAATAACGAAGCTGACTGGCCAATAGCCGAACAGGATAAAGTTAGGCAGGAGAGCCAAATTGAGAATGCTGGGAAGGAGAAGGGCAGAGTCAGGAGTCGCCAGCCAGACACAGAGGGAGCAGGAGATGAATGTGCTATGCTAATAATGGTACTGCCATGTGGCAGAGCATAATTAAGGAATACGGATTAGCAACATGTAAGCGTTAGTGATAAGCCTGAGCTATTGGTCAAGCATTTACAATTAATATGTCTCTATGTGGTAATTCGGAAGTGGCTCAAGGGATGGGAAAACTCTGCTTACAGGGAACTAGAACTAGCTCAGTGGTTGAGCACTGCCTGGCATGCTTGAAGCCCTGTCACAAGGGGACCTGGGGAGGGAGGAGAAGAACAAAAAACATAAAAGAGAGTGAGTGAGAGGAAGCCACTTTCATAATATCAAACCACTCTAATAATGGCAATACTACCAATCTTGATGGTTCAGATTCTCAACACTGTTGTGTTAAGGACACAGTCAAACCACAAAAAGGTATTCATATGCTTCTCAGCATTGACATATTCTGCAGGGCAGGTATCCAAACTCTGTACCACCTAGAGAATTCTTTCAAGGACATTTTTTTTCTCTTTTTGGTTTCTCAAGACAGGCTTTCTCAGTAACTATGGAGCCAGGCCTGGAACTCACTCTGTAGACCAGGCTGGCCTCGAACTCACAGAGATCTGCCTGCCTCTGCCTCCCGAGTGCTGGGATAAAGGCGTGCACCACTACTGCCCAGCTCCAAGGACAACTATTTTATCCATTTTAAATTCTCTGCATCTACACATTTTGTGTGTGCATATATGTGTGTAAACACCATTCATGTGCATGTACGTACATGTCATGTGTGTGTTCAAGTATATGGAAGGCAGAGGTTGACGTCTAATATCTTCTTCAATTACCCTCTACTATTTTTAGGACAGGGTCTCTCACTGAACTAAAGGTCACCAGTTCAGCTAGATTGGCTGCCAGCAAGCCTCAGAGATCTTCCCGTCTCTGCCTCCCAGTGCTGAGATTACAGGTGTGTACCACTGCACTTGACTTTGCTGTGGGTGAATGAACATAGGCCCACATGAGATGTGCTAGTTATGTGAGAATCATTTTTTTTTCTTTGGTTTTTCGAGACAGGGTTTCTCTGTGGCTTTGGAGCCTGTCCTGGAACTAGCTCTGTAGACCAGGCTGGTCTCGAACTCACAGAGATCCACCTGCCTCTGCCTCCCGAGCATCATTTTTATCCAATGATCCTGTAAGAAATGCTGGTGGGAACATGAGCTAAATAATTCTGGGCAAACCCAAAGTGTTTCCCAACTGAGCAACTGCCCTATCCCCTCTAGTACATCCTTATGCTGGGATTCTCCTTGTCCTTTGTCCCTGCCTCTGGTTCCCAAATGCTTGGATTACAGGTGTGCACATCTGGTTATTGGACTGACTCTTAAGGAATTTTTCTCATGCTGTGGATATTAATTTTACTTCATTTGACCTAGCAGTGGCCACGCAGATCAGTATCTAGAAATGAGCATTGCAGTCTGTTCTGATAGAGGACTTGGCTATTTAGTGGCTATTCCTTCTGCCTGGTTTTCCTAATCTACTTTCTATCTCTAAGGATTTGCCTGTACTGGATGTTCTAGATAAATGGAATCATATAACTAGAATCTTTTGTGTCTTCTCTCACTTACCATAATGTTTTCAAGTTTCATGCATGCCAAAACATATGTTATTATTTAACTACTTTTTAATTACAAAGACTATGTCATTATATAAACATAGCACCATATACCATGCATAAAATGAATATACTGTTCTGCTTTCTGGCTAAATACTATAAACATTCATATAATTTGTATTATTATTTTCTTGCTTTCATTTTAGTTTTGAGACAGGGCTGGCTGGCGCTTGTGGCAGTCACCCTCTCTCAGCTTTACAAGTGCTGGGATTATAGGTGTGAGCTACAATGTCCCAGCTCTGTTTTTTGGATTTTGTGTTTGTTTTTGAGACAGGTTTTCACTCTGTATTTTGGCTGGCTTTAAACTTGCTAAGTAACCCAGGTGGGCCTTGAACTTATGATCCTCCTGCTTCTGCCTCCTGAATACTTGGATTAAAGACATACACCACCATACTTGACCCATGTAGAAATTTTCATATGGACATTTGTTATAGTTTGTAGTGGGATTTCTGAGCAATGGGGCAACTCTGTGTTTAACTGCAGAGGAACTACCAGGCCTCTCCAAAGTAGCTGTAGCATTTTGCATTCCCACTGGCAGTGTATGATAGTTTTGTTTTCTCCACAGTCATGGACAACACTTGTCTCACTTCTGAGACAGGTGTGTTCCTGGGTTTCACTGGCCAGTTAGTCTACCTTGGCATGTCTCAAGCTAAAGGGAAATCTTGTCGTTCTGTGTCCTTCAAAAGGTGGATGGCGCCAGAAGTTGTTCTCTGGTTTCTACATGTACAGACACACATGCACCATCACAAACACTAACATGTATACAATACACTCAAAAAGCAAATAACAGGGCAGGGAATATAGCAATGACAGAGCACTTGCCTTAACACTGCAAGAGGTTCTGGGTTCCATCCCCAGTACTGAGAAAATAATACAACAAAGTAGAAGGGAATCTACTGATACTATTTCAATCTTGAACATAATAGAGAAATACAGATTAAAAACAAAACAGAAGTTGAGGTCCAAAAAGGGAAGAAAACAGGATTGATGAGAGAGAGAGAGAACATAATTATTACTATAAAGGATGATATAAAAATAAGATCAAACCTAGAAGGTACTACAAAATTATGAATATGTCAATTCTCCTATTAAAAGAAAACTCTTAGCCTCAAAGGGCAAAAGCTATTTTAAGAAATGTACTTAAATTTAAAAAATATTATTATTATTTTTATTTTATATGTATGAGTGTTTATCTGCCTGTATGTCTGTGCACCATGTCCATGCCTAATACCCCTGGTGGCCAGAAGAGGGCATCAGATTCTCTGGAACTAGAGTTCTGGACAGTTGGGTGCTGAGAACAGAATCCAGGTCCTCTGGAATTGCAGCCTGTGCTAGCACAGCCATGTCTCCAACTCTGGAAAATACACTTTATACAAAAGCATATACTATAGCAGACAAACCCAAGTTTTTCCCTTAAGCAATAACAACTCATTTTCAAAGACAGGTACATACCTGAAGTGACTGCCACTTAGGCTCTCAAGACCTTCTGTTAAGGCACAGTACAGGCTCGTCTGGGCTCCCTGTTGAGGGGTCTTGATGAAAAGGAAGAAAAGCTGCCACATCCATCTCATAAATGACGAGTACCGAACCAATTCAGAATTGACTGTTCCAGGGTGGACAGAATATGTTGTTACTCCAGAGCCTGGTGTAGGCAGGTACCATGCAAAGAAGGAAGATAAGACCTGATTTTACCAACTAGCAAAGAGAGCAAGGTATGCAAAGACACATATGACCCCATAGACAAAATCCACACTTCTGGTGACATCACACACACACACTCGCTCCCTCTGATGACATCACACACACACTCTGCTCCCTCTGGCCACATCACACACACACTTGCTCCTTCTTGCGACATCACATACACACACTGTTCCCTCTGAAGACATCACACACACACACACACACACACACACACACACACGCTGCTCCCTCTGGTGACATCACATACATGCTGCTCCCTGTGGTGACATCACACACACACACACACACACACACACACACACAATGACCTCTGGTGATATCACACACACTACTCCCTTGATTTATGCCTGTTGTACAGATTTAGGAGCCAGGTCCAGAGAGGTTTTTCTCTGCTCTAGGACAGCAGAGCCGAGACTCAACATCAAAGCAACTCTTTACAGTTGGCCATCCTTATCTCATCCCTCCTCTTGGGCTTCCATGACCCCATGCCTCTCCCAATGTTCTTAAATCTTCAGGTGTTTTGACTTCGTTCTGGATGTCCTCAGTCGTCACTTTCTACCCAAACACCTAACCTCAGAATCCCATGACTCACTAAACCTAAACCCCTCTCTTACAAATTTATGATGCTCATACTCTTTTTTTTTTTTTTTTTTTTGAGATAGGGTTTATTTGTGTAGCTCTGGATATCCTAGAACTCACTCTGTAGACCAGGCTAGCCTCAAACTCAAGAGATTGGCCTGCCTCCTGAGTGATGGGATTTAAAGGCATGCACCACCATTGCCCGGCTGATGCTCACATTTTAAAATGAGATTTATTTCTATTTTATTTTGTGTATATGTATGTCTTTGTGTGTTTATGCCATGTGTGTGGGTGTATGAAGAGGTGAGAAGATCCCCTGGAGCTGAAGTTACTGGCAGGGACTGAACTTGGATCCTCTGGAAGAGCAGCAAGTGCTCTTAACTGCTGTGTGCTTGCATTTATTTAGAAATCTGCACCCCAAACTGCTCTTCTGAATTTGAATGGGGTAAATTTGTATATATTGTATATTTTCTCTTTTATTTTTAAAAATTATTTTATTGCTATGAGTGTTTTGACTGTATGTATGCACACCACATGTGTATCTGGTACCCAAGGAGTCAGAAGAAAGTATCAGATCTCCTGGAACTAGAATTGTGGGTGGTTAGGCCACTATGTGGCGGCTGAGAACTGATCCTGGGTCCTTTACAAGAGCAACAAGGGTTCTGAACTGCTAAGTCATCTCTCCAGCCCCTTGTGTGACCTCTGGCTGTTAGAGAGATGCCTCCTCCCACGTCCACCACTCCTAGTACATGTTTTATACTAATGTCTGTTATTAAGTTACATTTCACTTATCATGAGGACTGAATGGATTGTGGCAGCAACACATGAGGCAGTCCTCACTGTACCTGGGAGGAACTAAATCTTGGAAATCTCAGTAACTTGCTGCAGGTCACACAGTATTAAGCAGTGGGACCAAGTCTTCAAATTCAAAGTCAGAATTTCCCTGTCCCCAGTCAGCCACCCCCGATAGTCAAGGTGGGCTAAGTAGACTCATGCCCAGTTAGACTCATGGAAGTTGCTCCTGTGCAGGTGATGGACCCTGGGAAAGAGCTCCCATCCTGTGGCTTTTCACTACTTCCCACTGGCGCCTGCCTCCCAGACTGCTCCCTCCCAGACTGCTCCCTCCCAGACTCACCTTTCAGCCTCCTGGCCAGTTCCTGAGTGAAGAGAATGTTGGCCAGTTTGCTGTGGCAATATGCTAGACCTGCACTGTAGAACTTCTCGCCCTGCAGGTTATGGAAGTGGATCCTTCCCAGATGATGTGCCAGGGAGGACACATTGACAACCCTTGATGGGGCTGACTCCTTCAGTTTCCCTAGCAGCAAATGAGTCAAGAGGAAGTGACCTGTTGAGAGAAAGCGGGGCTATCAGACTTGTGCTGAACACAACTTCTCACGTCAGGTGAGAAGCATAGCGGCAAGGAGAGCTCAGCCATGGGAGGCATTAGCAGCCGGGACAGGTGAGAGGGCAGTCAGGATGGAGGCCACCACGGCAACTTTTCATCATAAATTAGAGAGCAAGCCAAAGACACAAGACACCTTTATACAAGGCAGGTCCTGTTTCATCTCCACAGAGCTGGGCGGGCCACTCTCGGAGAGCAGACAGTGGCACACACTCAGGAGGCCGAGGCAGAAGGATCGTGAGCTGGAGGGTAATCTGGGCTACACAGCAAGACCTTGTTCCCAAAACAAATGAGCATGAAGAGCCCATGGCCTCCACCTGATGCTGGCCATAAAGATAAGCAACACGTCCCTCAATCTAATCAAGCTGTACAGATATACCCCCAACAGAAGCCAAATCTGAATTACAGATATAAAGAGTAGGAAGAGGACGTGGAGAGATGGCTTGCTGCCCTTCTAGAAAACCCAAGTCTGGTTCCTAGCACCAATATATGGAGCCTTACAAACCCCTTAACTCTAGCTCCAGGGGATCTGATACTTTCTTTCAGCTCTGTAGACATGTACATACAATTAGCATATACCCCCAGAGAAATACATGTGAGTGTGTATATGTAAGTATGTATGTATGTACATACGTATGTACGTATGTATGTATATATAGTAGATAGAACTTGAAGCCCTCAACTTCTATCTACTTTCAGGCAGTTCTCAACTATTTATTATACATGTATGGTTGATTACAGTCCTGAGCTCCAATGGTTCCAGAGAGAAGGTTCGATCTGACCCCGAATTTTCTGAGAGAGTTTTAGGTTCCCTCTGGCTTTGGATCGAGGGCAGACTTCTCACCCAAGTGGTTGACTCCGATGTGCATCTCAAAGCCGTCTGCCGTCTTCGAGTAGGGGCACATCATCACCCCTGCATTGTTGATGAGAATGTGGAGGTGCTTTTCCTCTGCAGGAAGAGAAGACAGCCATGGCTTTCACAGCTCAGAAACCGTCCTCACAACCCAGGCCTAGGCCTCCACAGAAGGGGAATGAAAGCAGGGAGGCAAGACCCCACTCGTTGCCCCATATACCCTCCTATTATTTTGTGTTGGTTTTATTGTAAGACTCCTTTTAGGCTTCGTTATTGTTTGTTGTTGTTGTAAGACTAGGGCTGACCTCACACACTTTTACACGGCCAAATTCTATTTTCCACCGCAGAATAGTATGTCTGTGCTCTCCAAAAGCTTTTTACTCATTGTCTTGGGGAAATGTTCTGCCCGCCAGAAAGACTTCCAAGCTGAATGGAAAGACACAGATGCCCACAGAAAAAGGATGCTCCATAAGCACCCATAGGTCTAGGATTTGGGCCCCAAGGAAACCTGCCACCTCGCTCTTGTAGTTCATTTCCTTATGTGCATTGTAATTCTTGACTGTAAACTCCTTCAGGTGAAAGTTATTTCCCTTAAGAAGTCTAAATCTGGGTTGGAGAGATAGCTCAGAGGTTAAGAGCATTGACTGCCCTTTCCGGAGGTCCTGAGTTCAATTCCCAACAACCACATGGTGGCTCACAACCATCTGTAATGAGATCTGGTGCCCTCCCTCTTCTGGCCTGCAAGCATGGAGGCTGAACACTGTGTATTTAATAAATAAATAAATCTTTAAAAAAAAAAAAGACGTCTAGATCCCTGGGTGATGAGGGTCAGGCTACTTTTGGTGAAATACCACAACTTTCTAAAACATGTTATTGCATTTATTTATTTGAGTGAGAGAGAATACATGGCATGGAGTTTGTGTGCAGGTCAGAGGACAACTTGTGGGAGTTAGTTCTCTCCTTCCACCACAGGGGTCCTAAAGGCTGAACTCTGGTCAGCAGGCTTGGCAGCAAGCACCTTTACCTGCTGAGCCATTTTGCTGGCCCCACAGGTTTCTAAGTTAAGATGCTACAGTACTTAGTAGAATGACTTCATGACATCAGCTTGGATTCTAATTTCTTGCAGATCCCCACCCTTCCTTCATCTATCCAGATGCTAAGTGTGTGTTTGAATGAGATGTGCCCCATAGATCTCCGACATCTGAATACTCGGTACCTAGCTGGTAGCTTTCTGGAGAGAATTAGGTAGTGTGGCCTTGCTGGAAGAATATGTCACTGGGGACAGGTTTTAGGTTTCAAAAGACTTGTGTCATTCCCAGGACACTTTCTAGGTCCTGCTTGTAGTTCAAGACATGAGCTCAAGCTGTTCCTGCTGCTATGCTTTGCTCTCCCATCATGGCCGCTAGCCTTCTGGAACTCTAAATCCAATTTACTGCTTTCTTTTATAAGTTGACGTGGACATGGTGTCTTATCACAGCAAGAGAAAAATATCCAGTATACCAAGAAAGGGTAAGGGACTTTATTATGGCCCTGAGGTGGTGGCCAGGGTCTTGTTTTTCTTTTTAGTACGTATGCCATAGACAAATGGCTCTCTATGAATCCCAACATTTTATACAGCTCCAGCTCTCAAAGGCCTGAGGCTGCATCACTTCTCTATCCCACCATGGATGTTTATGTCAGACCCTACCAAGCCCAGCCCATATTGAGTGCTGATATTCCTGCTACATTTTTGACTTTAGCTCTTGCTCACTGTTATGGGTTTGGGGCTCTGTGGTGGTCCCCATAGGCTCATATATTTGAATACTTGATCTCTGATTGGTGGAATTCTTCGGGAAAGATTAGGAGGTGTGGTCTTGTTGCAGAAGGTGTGTTATTGGGGGTCAGCTTGGAGATTTCAAAAGTCCTTACCATTCTCAATTAGCTGTTTTTACAGTTCAGGCTATAATCTCTCTCAGCTACTGCTCCCGCACCATGCCTGCCTCCCTGTCGCCATGGTCATAGACTGTAGCCTTCTAGAACTGTGAAACACAAATTAAACACCTTCTTTTATAAGTTGCCTTGGTCATGGTGTCTCACCCTGGCAACAGAAAGGTAACTAAGACAGATTCTTTGTTTCTGCATCCAGAAGCTGTCCCCTTGATCATAATGTGTTGACATAGTGACATAAAGAAAATTAGGTGCCAGTGCTCATAATACAGTCTTTGTCTCCACTTACCAGCTAAGAACTCTTTGGCAAAGGCTCGAATAGACTTGGTATCAGCTAGGTCCAGTTTCCGTACCAAGACTTGACTGTTCCCTGTGGTGGCCTGGATCTCGCTGGCCACCCGTTCCCCCTTTTGCACATCCCGGCAAGCTAAATACACACGGGCTCCTGTCAATCCAATGAAGGGAAAAACTGTTGGCTCTATTTTCAAGTGGTTTGAGAGACTGAACACAGATGCTGAATGTTCCTGATATTTTACAGGACAGTAATTTTTAGCCCTTACTTCACAACAGTGGTATCTGAAGCAAATGAGCAAAGAAAAAAATAGAGATGGTACTTGTTATTTTTTAAGTTTCTCGTTAAGTGCCCATTATATGTAGAGCATCATACTAGATTCAGACCATCATAGGAAATTAACGAGGTGCTTGGAGTGCCCTTAAATTCCAGATCTGGGAAGAAACAATGAGCATGGTCATCACTGTGAGGGGCAAAACATCGACAAGGGCGAGTTGGGAGCAGGTGCACTTGCCTCTTTGGGCCAGGTCTTTAGCAGTCTCTTTCCCAATGCCTGTGTTAGCGCCAGTGACTATGGCCACCTTCCCGGGAAGCTGGACATTAGATGTACACACTCCACTGGACAGCATTTTCCTAGAAACACAGAAAAAGATATCAGTTCTTCAGTATCCTTTCCTGCTGAGCATTCCTGCAACTCCATCTGCCTGCCAGTCCCAAGGCTGAGTTTGCTTTTATTTCTTCAATGTAACTCTTTCATAAGCTTAAGTTGAAAAGTGGCAAGACCAGGCAGATGACTTAGCAGGTCAGCACGCCTGCCTCCAGGCTGTCGACATCAGTCCAGACTCCAGGACCTACATGATGGAAAGTGAGACTCCTGAAAGTTGTCCTCTGACTCCACATGTACGCCATGGGACACACATGTGCACCCACCCCAACATACAATGAATATCCATATATACACAATAAATAAATGTTAAAAAAATGGAAAATAAAGAAGACAGCCATCTACTCATAAGCCAGATACAATCTTACCATTTAGGAGATAGAAGAATTGAGTTTGAGGCCAGCCTGGGCTACTAAGCAACTGTCTCAAAAAGGGAAACAAACAAAAATTTTATGCTCTTGTTTAAGGACAAAAAGTGATAGCATTTTAAAGACAAAAGTTAGATCTGGCTGGGCAAGGAACGGCACACCTTTGATCCCAGCACTTGGGAGACAAGGGGGGGATCTCTATGAGTTCAAGGCCAGCCTGATCTACAAAGTGAGTTCCAGGACAGCTAGGGTGATTTAGAGAGATGCTGCCTCTAAAAACTAAACTAAAGTTCTATCTGCTCCCTTAAGAACAAGACCTGGGTGAGTGAGTGAGTGGTCAGGCCCCAGACTTCAGTTTCAGTTGCCCATCCTGCATTTTTGGCTTAGGAAATCACAAGACTCAACCAAGCAGAAGAAACGCGGTCTTTGCCTGCCAATCTGTGACAAATGGCATTTTATAATCTTGAGAACGGCTAATCCAATTCAAAGAGTAGAAATCATTAGCTTATGAATCTAGGTCAACAATAAGAAAAAGATAACACATTCACACATTTAAGAATGGGAGAGGGGCTGGAGAGATGGCTTAGTGTTTAAGAGCACTGACTGCCCTTCCAGAGGACTGGGTTCAATTCCCAGCACAGACATGGTGGCTCACAGCTGTAGCTTATGGTCATATCTGGAACTCCAGTTCCAGAGGACCTGAAACCCTCATTCAGGCATACATGCAGGCAAAACACCAGTGCACATAAAATAAAAATAAATTAATTATACTTATAAAGGCCCAGGTATGGTGGTGCATGCCTTTTAAAGAATGGGACAAGGGTTAGGGATTTAGCTTGGGGTAAAAGTATGTACTTAGCATGTGCAAAGCCGCGTGTTTGATTACTAAGGTCCCACATTAATAACAGAATGACAACAGAACAGAGTGACGCAGACAAGAGCGAGGGTCTCTAGCTTGTTTGTCTTGGTCCTATGCTGTATGCTCTGCAGCCTTTCCAACTGGATGCAGCACAAACACAACCTCAGATTTTTCTTTTCTCTACAATCTTGGGACTAAAGGCATCTGTTAACTTAAGAGGTGTGGTTTTTTTTAATATTTATTTATTTGTTTTTATTATGTATACAGTATTCTTTCTGCAGGTCTCATTACAGATGGTTGTGAGCCACCATGTGGTTGCTGGGAATTGAACTCAGGACCTTTGGGAGAGCAGGCAATGCTCTTAACCGCTGAGCCGTCTCTCCAGCCCAAGAGGTGTGTTTTGAAAGAGCATCTCAACCTTTTTCATTGAACTTGTTTCCATAGAATTGCAAGCCGTTCAGTTCCATAGAACTAAAGCTATTGCTTAAGGCAAACTAACTCCTGGTGCCAGCTGAACCTCTGTGCTCAGGGATCAGGGCTCTGTCTTTCACAACCCTTCAAACTGAGCTTCAACACCGACAAGTCCTGGGGACCTGTATTGCTTCTCTCTCCGTTATCAGCAAAAACAAAAGAGACAGTCAGCTATGAAAACCCAGCTCTGGCCCCACTCCCACAAGCTCCAGCGGGGATAATAAAGTCCTTAGAGTGGACTGTTCTGAGAAACATCTCGCTGGACAGAGTTCCGGTTCAAGATTCTCTGTGGATATGAAGATCTGGTGGTAGAAAGAAACCCATGATTTCGTCAGAGTCCAAGGGCCACGTGTGCCTACTACATGTGGGAGCAGGGAGTATTAGAGAGAAGGCCACCAGGGAGAGAAAGAGATGTAGAAACAGAGGGAAGCTGAACCTAAGAAATCATTTACTATGGCAAGAAATAACAGGAGGATCGGGCATAGCCTCAGGTCCAATAGGAACTACAGCCAAGTTGCCAGAAAGAAGAGGGCGTTTATTACTGGTTTTCCGTCACTCCTGGTGACTTACTCAGAACCAATCAGTTGTCTGCCCCTAGTGTAGCCGGCCGCTCATTTCTCTGGCGGTATGTGGCCAGTTTTGAGCTGTTCTGACACACCTGGCTAAGAGACCCTGTCGCCTTCTTTCATTCCGTCCTTCCTCTCCCGGTCCTTAGGAGTCTATTTCATGCAAACACACACACACACACACCCCTGCTCCTACGGCAAAAGAAAGCAATCTCCCCCTTTGAATTCCCTCCTTTAACACCATCACGGAGGGGGGGGGGGGACAGCGTTGAGGGGCTGCACCCCACGTTAGGGTCTGAAGCCCGCCATGCTCTCGGGCTTCCCCCCAGCCAGAAGCGGGTGGTGCTAGAGAAAGGTAGGCCAGAAGGAGCAAAGCAGGATGCTGGGGGGACTGGGAGCCCTCTCACGACCACTTGGAGTCTGGCGTATCGCCATTCTCACACCAGGGCACCAGGATCTCGCCTGCAGTCCACTGAACTCCAGATCTCGGCTATCGAAAGGACTCCTTGGGGGAGTTTTCCTAGTCTTTTTTTTTTTTTTTTGGAGGGGGGGCTGGGTCGGGAGGGAGGATAAGTTTCAGTGGGGGTTCTTGACCTCTCAAAAAGACCTGGCAAGAAAAAGCAATACATTCGCACAGACCTGATTTTTGGCGTGGCCAGGTAGAGGATGAAGGGAAGACAAAGGAGCAGCAGGAAGACAACCATCTCAGCAGCGCCGTAGCACAGTGGAGGTTGATGCTCCTAAGCGGCTGGCCAACTATGGCTTCTCTTTCCTAGACACACCCCGATTCAATAGCAACCGACTGAGAGCAAAGCTCCCTGGGAAATGTAGTCCAGGATTTGGTGGCCGCCTGGCGGTTTACTTTCAGGAAGATGCTTCCTAGCTCTGTGAGAAGTTGACTAACACAATACAGGAGAGGCAGTATCCAATGGCCTAGACCCTGTAGGATCATTGAACCAGTCCTTCTGCCGCCCTATGGCCACTAATGATTCTTTAGAAATCGCCCCAGTTTGCTTTCTCTTGGAGCCCAAGTCGAGTGCTTTGTTCAATTTTCCCCAGTCATGATTAGGAAATTACCACATTTTGTCTGCGAGATAGCATCTGGTAAGTATTCTTAGGCCGATTTACACCGGAGAGGAGCCGTTATCTGACAGTTGGTGAGGCGGAAGGCATCTTTTCTCAGAGACTGTGTCCTATGGGGGCAAAGCAAGCAAGACATTCCCCTAGAGAATAACATTCCTCTGGGAACAGGCAGCTGCCTAGTCAAGCTTTCTTTCATCTGAGGTCTATTTCGTGGGGATGAACATGGGTTAATTTTTTTTAATTACTTAAAAAAAATACCAATCCAAATTTCCTCTCCCTCCCCTCCTCCTAGTCCCCTCCCATGCCTTCACACACCCTCCCACCCCACCCCCTCCAATCCTAAGAGAGGGCCATGCACCCCACCCTGTGGAAAGTCCAAGGCCATCCCTACTACATCTAGGTTGGGCAAGGTGTACACGTCCAAAGGGAACAGGATCTCAAGAAGTCAGTACCTGCAGTAGAGACAAATTCCAGTGTCAATGGAGATAGAGGAAGGACAGATAGGACAGCATGGGTTAAGTTTTAACAAATCATTGTCTATCTGTGATTTCCCATCTACACTAATAGTGTCTGGTTCTTTGGCTTAATAACTTTCCATTTGATAGGAAGACACCTGTTCCATGGCCAACTTGAAGCACTATGTTGTGCAGCAACTGGGGAGGAGGTTCCTTCACACAATGCAAATTCTTAGAGACTTAGCATTAGATTGTCTAGTAACCATCTGCTTTTGTCACTTTCTTCTCATTGTGCTGTTTGGTGTTTGGACAGCAGCTCACTGGTCAACACAAAGCCTGTTATGTGTGTTCTGTTGCTTACTCATTTTACAAATGTTTCAGGTAGTCCTCCTGGGAACTGGACTATTCTGAGGCCCAGAGGGAGCCAGGCAGACATAACCTATGCCCTCTCAAGCTTAAAGGGTGCCAGGGAAAGCCTTGGAGAGGAATTACTATAAACAGATCATGGGAAAGCTGTGGAAGAATAGAGCGTTGGCAGTTGACAAAAGGCAGGACTCTCCTGCTCTAGAGATTAGTGAGGGCTACTCTGAGATGGTCTTTGAGCTGAGGGCTCATGGGAGGTCAAGATCAATGCACCTCAACACAGAGGAACTCACTGAGGAAAGACCCCACTACTACCTCAACACACACAGGAGCACACAGAGGAAAGACCCCACCCCTACCCTCACAGGGCTCAGAGCTGGGGAAAAGCAGGGTAGAGTGCAGAGGGCTTGGGGGCAAGGAGCAGAGCCAGAAATGTCACTAGCCAGTGTTTATATAAGATTTATGTGCCAGATCATGGACAAGCACTTATAGTTCCCCCCAACCGCATTGCTAAATTCCCTCAGCTAATCTCAAATTTATTAGCTTTTTTCAGAGACAGGGTTTTTCTGTGTAACAGCCCTAGATGTCCTGGAACTAGCTCTTGTAGACCAGGCTGCCTCTGCCTCCCAAGTGCTGGAATTAACCATGTGGCCCACTACACATGGCTAACTTTTTATTCTTACAAGCGTGAAGCAGATACTATAATTTTTTCCATTTTACCAACTAGGAAACTGAAGTTCAAATAAAGCATTGTTAATTTAGTCAGAGTATGGGTAGCAGAGCTGGGGTCCAGACTTCAGCAGGGAATGCCCTGGGCTTCTGTCCTTAACGTTAAACCATACTGCCAAAGATTAATCTGGAACTCTTCTCCCTAGACATATCCAGCTTTCATATCTATATAATATTAGCATACAATTTCAGGTGACTTGATACATTGTCCTTATTCATGAGACCTAAAAATCATTGGTTAAGGTGCTGGAGGTGTCCAACAGTTAAAAACACTTGCCGCTCTTCCAGAAGACCTGGGTTCAGTTCCTAGCAACCACATGGTGACTAACAGCAGTCTGTGACTCCAGGTCCGGGGGATCCAGTGACCTCTTCTGGCCTCCTCAAGTATCAGGCACACACATGATGCACAGACATGCAAGAAGACAAAACACCCACATGCACAAAATAAGAATTAAAAAACAAAAACATTGGTTAAGCTGAGGATGGTGGCACACACTTTTAATCCCAGCACTCAGGAGGCTGAGGCAGGTGGATATCTATGAGTTCCAGGTCAGCCTAATCTAAATGAGTTCCAACACAACCACAGCTACACAGAGAAAACTTATCTCAAACTCCCCATAGCAGTAACAACAACAATAATAATAAGGTGGGTGAACTCATTAGAGATGCTGCTTCAGAGGAGAACCTGGAGGATCGCTAAAGGAAGGAAATAGTAGTGGTGAGTGGGGTTGGAAAAGGCCAGAGAGATTGGAGATAAGTCAGGTTTAAACTGGGAAAAGAGAGAGAGAGAGAGAGAGAGAGAGAGAGAGAGAGAGAGAGAGAGAGAGAAGTGCTTTTCAATTTTTATTTAATTAAAATGTTTAAAAAATGTGTATGGGTGTTTTGCCTGCATGTATGTCTGTGTACCATACGCGTTCTCAGTGCCCATGGAGGCCAGAAGAGGCCAGCAGGTCCCCTAGAACTGGAGTTCCAGATGGTTGTGAGCTATTGTGTGGGTGTTGGAAAACAAAGTCATCTCTCCAGGCCCCAAAGACAAACCTTTTAAGTGGCTAAGTGATTTGAATAAACGTAACCAAAAACAGAGAGGACAGTTAGAAACACTAAGGGAAATTTAATTAAAACCACAATAAAATACCACTACCCTCCTACAGGAATGGCCAAAGCGCAAAGGCTGACCACACCGGTACTGAGAAGAACATAGTGCAACTGAAGTGGTTGCTGCCAGAGGGCGTCGTGTAACACCTCAGTGGTGTAGCCACTGACACATTTTTGTTGCTCAAGTAAACAATCCCCCACCCTTGCTCGCGCCCTTAACCTTAATGCAATACCCCACCCCACCCTGCCAAAGGCATTTAAAAATACGGAAGATGGGAAGATGAAAGGGTTCTGGGGAAGGGGGGGAAGGCAATATGAGAGAATAATGTGGGCGGGAAGATGATCAAACTGTATATGTGCATGTAGGAAATCATGAAAAAAATACTTTTTTAAAAAGAGAAAGGTTAAATAAAAAAAAACTGTAGCATGTGAATTTAGAAGAAAAACAAATGAAGAAAACCCAGTGAGATAAGTTTACAAATGTCTGCCGAAAGCAAATTTATCAACTGCATTTGGACATTCTCTTTTGTTTTTGTGTATTTTTTTTTTGAGGCAGGGGCTCACCATAAAGTCCCCAGCTGCCCTAGAACTAACAGAAATCCGCCTGCCTCTGCTGCCTGAGTGTTGGCATCGAAGGTGTGCACCACCACACCCAGTTCCATTTGGTTCTTTTTGGGTGTTGGGTTTGTTTGTTTGTTTCTTGAGACAGAATCTTACTAAAGTAGCCTTAGGTTGGCCTTGAACTCACTAGGTAACCCAGGGTGGCCCTGAATTCACAGTCCTTCTGCCTCAAAATCCTGAGCACCGAGATTATAAGCATTAAAAAGGAAGGGAGAGGGGCATTGAGATAAAAGATAAAGAAGTTCCCTGGGCTGTGGCAGAGCTGGAAAAGAAGACCAAGAAGCAGGCCTCAGAGCCCTGGGGGAAACAGGTGTGAGAGGGACACGTCCACAGGACAGGGACCAGGAGTGCAGCCCCACCACCTGACCCAACTTGGGACCAGCATGGTGGGGCATTGCTGTGACAGATCTGGCCATGGTGTTGTGGGGAGGGAGGCTGTGGAAAGACTTTAGACTTTGGGCTAGAAAAGCTATTGACTTGAGAGCTCAGTGTGATGTTCTGTAGGAGCATCCTATAGAGGTTCCGTTCTGAGGTGAAATCTGGGAAGTGTTTCCCGAGAGTCAGCACACAGAAGCTGTGTTCCGGGGTGGCCAAGGTTGTACCTTGCTCTGGCAGTCTCACTTGGTAGTATGAGAGGCACCTGGGTGGTACTTATCTTGAAGGCATGAAGAGGTCAGGGAGAACAGCTGAGGTTGGGAACTCTGAAAGTCCAGGAGAAGCCACCGATGAGTTGCAGCCTCGGTAGCCATTGAAGGACCAGGATTGAAGAGGTCATGCAGAGAAGTTGAGGCTTGGCACCATGAAGTGAGCCTGGGAGAGGCTATTGGTGAATGTGCAGCCCAGTTGCAACAGAAGGCCTCAGCATTTTGGAGACGCCAGTACCTTGGGTTGACCAAGAATAGCAACAGTGGTGTGGAACCAGCTGGAGCCTAAAAGACAAGCTCTGTGTGCTGCAGAGGACGGAGCAGAAGGGATCCAAGGCCCTTGGAGAAGCCCAGAAGATCATAAGTGGATCCTAGACATTGGACATTGAGTTATTTGCATGGTTGGAGCTTGGTTTTCGCTTTGTTCAGATTGTAACTGTGCTCTGGTTCTTCCTTCGTTAAGTAAAGAAATGTTTAATTTATTTTTTTAATTTACAGGAGACCACATTTGAAAGATTGAATTTTTATTAAAATTTATTTTTATGTGTATGGATATTTCACCGATAAGTATGTTTGTGTACCAAATGTGTACAGTGTTCATGGGGTATGGAGGAGACAGAGAAAAGGGTGTGGATCCCCTGGAACTCGAGTTATAAATGGTTGTGAGCTATCATGTGGGTACTGGGAATTGAACCCAGCTCCTCTAGAAGAGCAACTACTCTTAACTACTGAGCCATTTCTCCAGTCCTGAGAGGCTAAATTTTAAAGTGACTGA